GGGCGAGGGAGAGGGCGAGGGAGAGGGCGAGGGAGAGGGCGAGGGAGAGGGCGAGGGAGAGGGCGAACCAGTACCCGCGAGCCTTGCGAAATGGGCGGAGCCCCACCGCGCGGCGCCGACCTACAACTGCGGCGCAAGGGCGGGCAGCCACCTCCGCGTGCCTCGAATTATAGCGCCTGCAAGGAGGCGTTGCCCCGGCCCCGGGACAGCTGCACCTCGCCGGAACTGCCCGACGGAACCTGCTGGTATTTACTGGAGAAATCGCAGGAGAATTAATCGGGGAATTTTGTATTCCATTGTAGTAGGTTCCACAGCGCCCTTCAAATACTTACAGGAAAGTCTCTATTGTTTTAGAAAGAATGATTACATTGTTTTAATGTTATTTTATTGAGGAGAGACTAATTCATTTTCCTGATACGGAAGGATGTACTGTGGGAAAATTTTACAATTTTTCTTCCTGTAAGTTAAAGTTTTCTCAAATCACGAAAGGAGACGTGAAAAACTGACTACCTAGTATAGAATAAAAACTTCAGTTCAAAGTTATGCGTTGTTGTGTTATTGCACATACTTTGTTGAAACTATAGTCCGTCAGAAAATATATGTTCAAGCTCATCAAATATAATGTGTAAAATGTAATTAGGAATGTGGGAATGTTGAAATATGAATGCGAAATTTATAACATTTGAAAATATTTCTACACATCTTCCATCTCGAGTTCCATATTAATCGTCAAATCTGGAGTAGCTGTACAAAACTAACGTTGTTGGTGACACGAGATGCATTAATCTTAAAGCAGATGTATCGTAAACTAAGAATATAAAGGTCATGTCTACAATTTTTGTAATGTACCCTGAGGCATTTTATGTTCCAAACAATTACGTTTATAAACACCGACTGGTTTGAACTTTCAACCTTTAACGTTATGCAATATCATTGAAACAAAATTACAAATTTTTATACTTGCACGCAAGCTTAGAATTATGTAAAACTCCAGAAGCAGTTAGAATGTTCCAAAAAACCTCTTTACAAACCTAACAAAGATTCTTGTGAAAAATGAGTTTGAAAATGAAGTAGCTCGTCATGGTAGTAAATTTTTAGGACGTAGGTAATGCGTCACAAGAAAAAAAGATGCCAAACAAATGCGAATATATTCAGAATGTAACCATCTCGAAATTGTGAAGAGTCACTCACAGGAAAAACTGAGCTCGAGTCGCGGTGTCACGTATATCCTTCGGCCTACTTCTCTTAAAGACTGAATCATATCCCTTCATTATTTCCTAGGAATCATTTGAATTAATCATTTAAATTCGTCGCAGAATTTATTCTATTTATAAGAACTTTTATAGATACCAAGATTTTTTGGCGTATTTAATTTCGCAATCTCTATTTTCTTGAAATCATTCAAGATTCTACCAAATTACCGATATGCCGAATTAGTAAAATATGTAATAAATAGGTTTATATCTCTACATTTACGACAAATAGTTTGGTGCAAAATTTTGAAATAAGACAATTTAATAGGACAACAGATTTAATAGGACGAGTATAATACCAAGAGTATCTATATCACACCATAAATCTGAACTTTCATGTTTTCAAAACCCCGATTTTTCCCCTTTAACAAAAAGGTTTTAACTTTATTGCTCAATATACTCCAAAGATTTAGATAAACGATATTAAACTCCCAATAGATTAAGGTATAAACCTTTATAGCTCAAAGCATGTGATACGATAGGAAACCTTCGGGTGATACGAAGTCAATTAATTCAAAATTTAATTCCGAAAACAGAATGGATCAGCAGGCAAACAAATCCTGTCCATGATCTACATAGGGGAATGACTCGCGAGCGTCAGCTCCAATCTCTACAGCATCCTTTCATTCAGGCGGGTAATGACTTGACGGGCAGAGCGGCGCCGCCGCCGCCGCCGCCGCCGCCGCCGCCGCCGCCGCCTCCTCTCAGGCGCGCAGCGGACGCGGGTGAAAGGGCGGGCGGTGGCTGGGGCGGAGGCGGTGGGAGAAAGGGTGATGGGCCGGTGAGCGCGGCTCGCCGCCGGCAGCGGCAAAAAGCAGCCCCAGGCGACGGCGCCGCCGCAAGGCGCTTTCGTCACGTACGTGCGGGCTTTCATTGGCGGAGACGATCGCCTCACGGCAAAAAAAAAAAAAAAAAAAAAAAAGAAAGAGTCGCCTAACTACTTTACCAGAATACTCCGTAAATGCACTACATCTTGCTTCATTATTTACGGATCCATTCCATTCTCTTCGGGTTCCACTATCCAAATCCAACCGCGATCTCTCAAACTAACCTGCATCTGAGCAGCAGGGACCTAGGGCAGGGTCCATGAATGCGGCACTGAATCGTGGCCCAGAGTCCCGCATAAGGGGTGGGAGTTTCCTCATCGCGATTAGTTTCTTATATCCAGTGTCACATCATATTCAATCATCTTTTATCACTTTTCACTTGTCATTTCCAGTATCTTTAAACATTCAGAAAATTTTGATAAGCCACGAGTGATAATGTAGCCAGAAGGACGACTTTAAAGTAAAGCACCATTTCTCTACTATCAAAATAGGGTACTTAATTCTTTCTCGGTGACCCTTTTTTATCCCTATTCATAACTTACACTTTCTTCACAATTACGAAGTCTAAATATTAGATTAATAAATCAGTTTTTCCTCTTCAAACTATAGTTATTTGACGTGGTTCAATTAAAAGTCATTCCTTTAGTTTCGATTTTTTGATTTTTCAACAAACTGATTTTCCCACGTGTGTACTACTATATTCCAAGAAGACTTTATTAGAAAAAACATTTTAACGTGCAAGTAAGGAAATAATGAAAGAATCTTATTATATGAAGGACTGAACAACGGACAATTTTATTCTGATGTCCCAATTTCATTCTTTTTCGTCTTTACGAGTGTAAATGTTCAGAGAGAAAGTTTTTATTGCATTGTCAATCTTTCTGACAATTTGGTTACCCAATTTAAAGTAATGATTATTTTCAAAATCCTTCCTAGTACATTTTAAGTAACAACTGTGACGTTTTAACAAGTCTTTCGTCACCCATGAAGCTAATGCGAGTCTACTTTACTCTACATCTTATCGCCAGCCATAAAAACGCACGATTGCAATGCATGAAGTGAATTTATGACGACTTTATGGGGAAACGTTTTTATGATTACAAGTCCATTAAGAGTGTAATGAATCATAGAATAGGCATGGTCATTTTAGTTGCTTGTCATAGCCGAGCTTTCTTGCATTTGAAGGAGCATATATAATTTCTTCGACCATATACATACGATACTCAACAATGAAGTCCAAATAAAATATAAAATGAGAAGATTATAAATTGAATGAATAAAAGAAATAATTACGTAGTATAATTTATAACAAACTTCATTAAAAATTGGAAATATCAAGTACTCTTTAGTACATTTCTTTAAATTTAGGTTTTAGACCAAAATGCAATCTTCACAAATAATCTCTCCGAAACTATATCGCCATTTTTAAAATAGATTTGCATGTTGAGGATTATTGCTTTGAAGACTAATTTATCAATAAATGATAATCAGTATTTTGCCAGCCATATCGTCAGCAATTTATATTAACATAAAGAGAATATTTTCACAAACTGAATTTGAAAACTAAGATTAATTTTCAACCAAAATGGGTATTACTAATACAAATTTTCTACTCTGCACATTATCTTGACCTATTGTTTGGGGATTGAGGATAGTCACTACGCCAGCGAATTTTTAAAATTAATTATTAAGTAAGTATTCTTCCAAAGCAGAACACCTCAAATGTTAAGAACGGTAGTTACTACCATAATTTACACTGTAACTAGTAAGTATAATAAAAAGATGGAAGAATTTCTGAACGTGAAGACGTCTCCCCATTTTACTCCCTGCCTAAGTTACAATTTCCCTTTCTTCACCCATAAACAAAAGTATTTAACCAGTTTTTGTTTTATATTTCACCAATTATTCGAAATATCATTCGCTAGGTACCCTAAAATTATATTTAAACGCGTTTTTGTGAACAAATTGCTTTTGCCTCTTTCTCGAATCGCCTCAAAACGTTAACGCCACCTCTAGAGCGCACCGTTAAACAATTATTTTCATTTAATCAAAGAGAATGACAAAGTAAAACTGTCCTTCCTTCCGCATCTGGTGGGGCCGGACGGAAGGCACTCTAACACTGGACGGGGTGCGAACCGGGCGGCAGCGCGCGGTCGCGGGCGCGACCTTGTTCGCAAGCGCAGAGAGACCTCGCGATCGCCGACGGAGCCCGGAGCCCGGCGCCCCGCGTGCACCGCCCGCTCTGCCCAGCCAGCGCAGCGCCGCGCCCCGCCCGCCGCACCAGGCAGCGCCGAGGGCTAACGGTCCGGGTCGACGACCTCACCGCCGCCGCCGCCGCCGCACCTTCCCGATCGACTCGCGACATGTAGGCCAGCAGCCGGAGCTGGCGCCGGCGCCCGCGGCTACGGCGACGGAGGCAGAGGCCCGAGAGGTGGGGGGAGATAAGAGGAGAGAGGCGAGTCACCTGTGCGTCCCGCGGCCGCGAAGTGGCTGAACGAATCTCATCACGATGCTTATATCTATCGCAATTCTTTAGTACTCGTAGAATAGCTTTTGCTAAGATCTGATAGGGTCAAGAAGAACGATGAGTAGCATCCTACACAATGAAGTGAAAGGAGACTACGTGCTAATTAGCGGGGGCCAGACTTCTAATCAATAACTGATCTCTGTATTTAATATATACCGAACGTAGTAGTTTTCAATTATTTTCCACCTTCACTTCAACATATACATATGTAAATACCTTATATCTAATTAAATAGGTAGCAAAAAAAGTTCTACGAGTACACTACGAACATATTCAAACTCGTATGAGAGCTAGGGAATCTTTTCCATTTTGTATATATTATTTTATCAAAGCACATTTTTTAAATACTAGCAAGATCCTTCCTTTATTTGTCTACAAGCGAGATAACATTTGAGAAAGAACTCCGTTAAACACGCGATCTCAAAAGTAAATGTTAACTGTTTTAAGTGTTCAAGATTCCAAAGCATGTTCAGATCCATTGAAGGACAAAATGTGTCATTGCTTTCATTTCTATGTAAGCTTTCTCCAATCAGTCGCTCCTGCTTAGAAACTAACATTACGCGCAAAAATAGAAAAACCTAATGTGTTGATGCCGTTTCCCCTCTTTCCGGTAACATTATTTTCATGAATTCTGGAGGAATTTTCTGAATCCTACTTCGAATAGTTTCATCTGAACCATCTTTGGAATAGTTTGGGATACAATTTTATTTACAGCGTCTGCTTTTCATTCGCGTTAAGATTTCTTCAATTTTCGAAAGAAAGTATTTTTTATAGAAACTGTTTAATGCGATATCCTAACATTACAAATTCTCAATTCATATTTCAATTCGGGCTTCTTGAATATTTTTCTTGCCCGTAATTGAGCAGTCATTAGCACTTGTGAACTATTACAAAACCGCATTCATTTCCCTGCTAGACTGCATCGAACATTTTTTAAATATTCAGTTTTCCAATTGTTGAAAGAAATATTGAAAAATGAATTACGATATCATTTACATCAGTAGTATATTAATTACAAAAATGCAACACCTACAAACAACGTTTAAAAACAGTTTTATTAATTTAAAAATTTACGCAAAACATTAAAAATTCTTTGATTTTGATGATTTTTGTAAATACGTTTTACAAAATTATTTGAATTTAAAAAATGTGAATCGAGTCAAATTTATACATTCGTTTGCTCACGAGTTTTAAGATGTTATTGTATATTAAGACAAAAACCTTTCTTGAAGATCTAAACCCGTATCATTTGATCGTGTAATGAACGCGGGAAGAAGGGCAGGAGGTCACAGCAAAGGCAACAGTTAGGTTTCTGAAGAGGTGCATTCAGGATGAAAACTTGCTAGTATGTTTAAGATGTTGAGTTGCCGTATTTGATGAGTCTGCATTTTCCGCAAATCCTTACTTACGAAGGAAGTTCTTGAACGAAACGAAATTAAGCATCCTCTTGAAGAAAGTGGCTGCGAGGATTTACTTAGTGCATATTCATTGCTATTGACACCTTTCCATTGACACACATTTTCATTGACAATTTTTACACAGAGTGGGTAACGGCACAAAAACAAAATTAATTTGACTAGATGTCGCAGGAAGAAAGTGTTGGAGCAAGTAATAGCGTTAACGATTCGAGAGGCAATAGGCCATCTAGGTTACGCTTTCGGAAAAATACTTGTTTAGATTACGTTTGTTATTTTTATAGTCTTGGCTGAAAGTATATATATTAAAATTGCAAATTTTGACAAATTATTGAAGATTTAAAATAAAAACATGATGTAAGTGCCATTTGAGTTGAATAAGTTTTTACCAGAATGATGAATGAATCAAATCCTAAAACATAAATAAGAAAAATTTTAGACGCATTTCTTGATAGTGTTATGGGGCGATCGAAAATGGTATAAGGTTTGTGCCAATAGGTTACAATTGGTATTTTATTTCATACCTTCAATTATCTTACTACGTACAACTCAGAAGAATATTTTCAGATACACGATGCAAGTAGGTTTTATTGAAACCTTGTTCCTTTTCACAACAATTTAATGCAAAGGTCGGAAGACCAATTTAATACGAATTTCGAAGAATTTAATACGAAGGTCCGGCTGAAAATTAATCTTCGAGCAGTACAACACTGCACACACACACACACACACACACACACACACACACACACACAAAAAAAAACTCCCATTACCGCAACCTGCATTTGCAACCGTACCCGCAGGGTTGGCTTAGTATTTGCAAAGGCGCCGCACCCGACGTCCTCTCACTACCCGCAAAATTGTTTGACCATTACCGCATTACCGCACGGGTTAGTCTCCTCCCGCGAACTCTCGGCAGATGAACACTCGGCGCCCCGCTGTGGGAAAGTGGAACGCGCGGAGGCTGCGGGAAAGAAAACGAGGCGATAATTGCCTTTGCGTAAAGGGACGACGCGTTCTCCAACCCGCCCGCCGCCCGTCCGCCGCCCGCCCGCCCGCCAGCGCGCGCCGCATTAATCAACGCGTTTTCCAGGAATGCAAGTCTCTCTCCAGCCCGCGCCGATGCTGTGGTGGTCCTAGAAAACCTATCTCGAAACTCAGGTCACTGCGTTTTGGAATATAGCTATTTTGGAAAATTACATCTTGTTAGTACACGTTCTGTGATAACTGAAATGTAAAATTAAGATAAAATGCATGAACATTTAAATTTTTCGCGGATGAACGTTTCCGACCGCAAAATAAACGCATTGAACAGTCGAAATATCATTTATAATCTTTTTTGTGGTTTGTGTTGAGGGTTCTGTCCATTCCTAAAAGATGAATTATTTTTACTAAAGATTAAAATGCAGATGCAATCTCCCAATTGCTGGAATTCCCTGAAAAATGTATAGAATTTGTACTCCCAGACCATTCGTTTACAAGAGTGGACAACATGATCTCCAACCTCCCAGCATTCATTACTGCATACCGCGAATCTTCTTTACGTCACAGGAAAAAAGCTTATCCCGAAGGGCGGACACCTGAACAAAAGTTTTAGACGGAGGCCCTGCATCAATATGAACGAAAAGTACATGTTCCACTGAGGAAGCCAACATTTCAAGAAATTTGTTTGCCTTAACGAACTTTGCGGAAAACTTTAAAATTGCCAAGTTCAAAGTAAATAGTATTTTCCTTAATAGCTAAGACGTAATTAGAATAGTACTAAAGAAATTGTTCAGGTAAAAAAATATACTGTTCCGATTTCGCCGTGAACAAATTTGCAACAGAAATAACCAAAGCTGAGTATTGGAGATAAGTATACACAAAGTATTATTTTATGTTGAAATTTTGGCAAATGAAATTCAACACTTGTTTTCTCGAACTGAATCAGTGTAGTTTATTGATACGTATGTATATGATATTTATGTATACTATACATGTTTACCTCGTTGATGCCTTTTAATAGTGTTTGAATTGCTAACTATTGTAATCGCCTACGCATTGACGTGCGCAGTCTAAAACATACGAGAACGAACTACATTTAAGGGTCCCTCTGGGCACCTTTTCTAAGAAACCTTTTTATTTGCGCATTGCATTTTACTATAAGCAAGTTAAACATCAACGAGAATGTAATGCTTTAATGATTCAATTAATGAATACAATTGATTTTGGTTTTACCAATTTACAGTGTTTTCTGTTGGTTTAGACATGCTTCCCCTTTAATAAACGTTTCCTAAAGTGTTGGCTAAAAGAAGGTAGAAAATAAATGCATCGTTAACCGACATAAACTGTTTTAATATGTTCAGTTATGGGGTCCTTTTTGAAAATTTTGGGTGACAGCGGCTCCTCACTCCCCTGTGCACACCTACGAGATAAAGAGAAAGCGGTAAAGGATTAAATGAAGTATCAACAAATCTGTAACCCACACCATTGGAAATTACAGAATGTAAAACGTATTGAATGACCGAGAGCGTAGGCTTCCGCGGCCGGAGTCGGTATTTACTTGGCTCTCCGGGTGACGCCGCGTCCATGGCGAAGGTGCCGACGTTACGATCGCTTTTCTACGAACTTTGCCCTTCGTATTACGTCCTGAGGAAGGTGGCAGAATAGCGAACGAAACGTCGGCATCTTCGCATGGACGCGGTGTCACCCGGACAGCCAAGTAAATAGTATTGAATGATCTTTCTTTTTCGGATTCTGGATATCGAGGTGGCGCCTCCGTATTAGCGAATACGGCGGGCGCGTCGCGGCGTGCGGAGGAGGTGAAAGTGTGCGCAGGTGCCTCTGATGCTGCGGTGCGGGGGCGGCCGCACAGCTGATGGCGCATGCGTCATACGTCCGCTCGCGACTTGGCATGAGTCGGCGCAGCGCCGCGGCAGCCGGCTGAGAAGAGAGGCGAAGCGGTGCGAAACGCGGTGGCCCCGTAATTTGCAAATTGCCTTTTAGACGCCTGCCGACGGCTTCGTTCACGATTCTCATGAAGCTTTTGTGTCGTGGAAAGGGTTCGTCCTGAATTCGCAGGTGTGCTGAAAGTAAAAGAGTGACTACAGTGTATTCATCTCGGCTGCAAATGAAGCTGTGAATGCAGATTTTCTGCATCGTCAAAAACGTGAGGACTACCCTCAATAAATCGAAGAATGCACGTCTCCTTTAATGCCTGCGTAAACTTCGAAATCTATAGTTTGAGACTTCGGAAGTTCTTCACAATTTGCAGATTATCATTTTTAAGGTAATAACATTATTACTTAATAACCAGCTAAGTTTTTGAATTAATCCCACGGTCTTGGATTATGAAACTGAGTATTCCTTATAATTTTCTCATGGAATAGAGTCCTTAAATTGCGACTAAACTCCTTGTTGGTGTAATTTTTTCAATTATTATATCTACAAAAGAGGAAACTACTCTACACAACAATTCTCAATAAAGCTAATATTGATTAAAGGGGACAATACGAAACAGGTTATTTGCTCCAAATCACGATGTTGCAACAAATCTCATACCGGTGAAAAATACTTTATAGAAAATAAGCCGATAATTCAAATTTTATCAAAATAGATAAGGTAGCATTGGGAGATTATATTAATCTCTCAAAATCCGTGTATACTCACGATAATGTCTTTAAGTCTTCGTGTTCAACACATTAAGAATAGACCAGCAGATGGTATCTGATCTGATTATTTGAATCGTGGTCAACACTGATACATTTAGAAGGACATAACCTTGAGCATATTTCAGAAACGCAACCAATTACACTATGTAGATAAAATTGAATTAACTCATAATAGCAACTCTAAAAAAATTGAATTTCGAATATATTACAGATGTATTTCAAATATTATCAAAGATTTGCGTTAAAAGCATTCTATTGGACCAAATTTTCTGATTTATGCTTCAAATTGAGTGTATTCCAGAAGATTTCACACTTGCTGTTAATAACCCATTATAGAGTAAAAACACCAAATTTTAATATTTTAAATTGAGTTTTTTATATCTTAAATAATGAATGCTTATGTGCTTACATTTGTTTATTATGTCATTTTTAATACCTACCTTTCACGTAGTATATTGTCTGTATTGTTTCGCGAGTTGCGATTGTTCTGCCAAGAAGCAGTCAATGTTTCATAGCGATATTTTCAAGTTTAAAACACCACAAGATTCTTCAAATATTAGCCAGTGAACAAAAATTTCTAACAATCGTGACATGAACCTTTAAAAAACTGATCAAAATTATATGTAAGGTGTTACTTTTAAGTTGCAGTGGATAGTAGTAGTTCCTGTTATTGAAATTTAGCGTAGTGGTCTGATGTCATTGACACCTGAACAGGCGATAGTTCTAGTCAGAAATAACCAATGAACGTCTAATACTGTATAAACTAATACATCTGTAAAATATAATCAAACAGAAAACTATGCAATTTTCACAGTTTGTGCTGAACCCGCCAACCAATCTTTCTGTAGATCACAACACAGATCTTCGTAAATATAAAATATTTCTATTACGTTTTTAAAAATAGGCTAATGCAACTGTTTACCGAGTATAGATCACGTTCCAGAGTTTGTAAACATCTCAATTCATTAGCCTACGAAAGTTACTCCGAACGACATTTTCTGAACCATATTTGTGTGTTCTTCGTTTTTGTCAGACATTACATTTCGCCTGTAACCTTTCTACAGATCTTTTTTGTTTTGAGCGATGTAATCGCACGAGTTCTGCTAGTACTAACACTTTAATATTTTGTTATTAATATGGATCACCATGCTTGCAACATATTACAAATTTGCTTTCAATTGCAAGAGTAGTAATACGCCATTGAACAACTAACGTTTTAGGAATTTTATGTGACGAAACCTAAGACCTGCATCTCCAAGGTTAGAATTTTCTTTCATTTGGTATTAAGCTCCAGTACTCTTGTTATTTACTTCAACTTTTTCAGTCTCATTGCGGGCATCATTTCTTTACAGCAATTCGTGCACATAGGCTCAGTCACCACTGACTTCGGACGCGATGCAACAAACAAAAAAAATAATGAAAGGTTCCCATTGAAACAAAGGACACGACATCGTCAAAAACGTCGAACCCCTTATTATTCTACGATGTAGAATCACCGGGCCGGGTGGAGGGGGACTCACCTGGACGATGGAAGCGACGGCGAGTCCGAAGGTGAGCGCGATGTGCATGTTGCTGGGCGCCGCTTCGCGGTTGAAGGCCATGGTGGACCCGCAGCCCACGAACACCAGGAAGAAGGTCCCCAGCAGCTCCGCCACCAGCATGCGCCAGATGTGGCGGCCATCGGTGATGTCCGAAACTCCGATGGTAGACTTGAGGCCTGCGCATAACGACAAGTGCCGGTTCCGTTATATGACCATACGTGAGCAGTGGCAGTAGGTATGCCATTCTGATTTCAAAGTTGAAGAATGTCCGGACTAAAAGTTGTGACGAGTAACCAAAGAAATGAATAGTTTGAGCGATTGTCGGTTTTTAACTGAGCGCACTAAAGAGTCAGTAGAACATCAGTATAACCAGTTTTACCCAACTATATAAATAATGGAGGATTCGTTTCAACGCCTTTATGATAATCATGGAATATAGGGATCTTTGAGCAATGCTGGATTAAGAGTCGGAGGAAAAGGAGTCACCCTGAAAACACCTTCAGCGAAACTGCTTTGCACTCGTCAAATTTCACAGATAGGCCGAAATTTTGGCCCCGGTTCCCGGGGTATAAGGCAAGAAATTTTACCACTATGCACACCATGGTATTGCTACTATACCTGTAAGATGTGTTTACGCTGAAATTATTTCTATTGACTATTGCGTAAGACATTGCATGAATGCTACTGTATTTCAGGGGGAGAGCACAGACTTCTCATTTAAACCAACAAATGTGTTGTTATGTCCTTTTGCTGAGAAACTCGTCACAGCATAACAGTTTCTTCACGATTTCATTTCTGTACGTCCAAGAGGTTGTGGTAAAAGAGTTGAAGCGCTGGTAGTACTTTCAAGTATTGTGGAAGAAACTGATGTGAAGACAGTTCTACGTAGCAGGTGATCCTGCAATGTTCCCTAACTCTGCAGTCAGCCGTCAGAATTGAAATGTACTTGCGGTTCTTAAATTTCAAAAAAGGCTAACAGGACTTGCCAATGCACACAAAATTCCAGCCATTGGCATGCCACAACAAAATTTGAAAGTTACATAAACGCCTACAGGAAACTAGGCTTCTGAGAGAAAAACCAAAGGAATTACTGCTATTGGGTTCACGTTATTTTTCACTCAAATACATAAAGCCGAATGTGTGTTTGAATTTTATGAGGTGCCGTAACGTTCATTCGATTGCGATAAAATTTAAGTCAGCTTATTGCTTGCACTTGCACAAAGACTTTAATACAGGCACAGTATGTTAAGAATGTACGTATATCTGTCGCATATAGACGCGCGTTGATTTCATGCTTGTATGTTAACCCAAGTGCCCCTGCCTAGAAACCCACACAACCCGTGGCACCCTTCAGTATTAAACGCATTTTCGCTGAATATTCCGTTGTGAAACATCTACCGGATTTATTGATTTAACGTCCTCTGGCAGTGAATCAAATTAGTTCATGACTGTGTCATAGAGAATGCATGCCCAAACGTGAGGCAGATCGTTTCAGGAATAGGATAATTGACAACCATGGTCATAGAACCAGAACATAGAACAAACCCATACGTGAGAAAATCAACTGTGGAGTTTTTGAAGGGCATAGGGTAAAACGATTTTTATTCACATGACCAGTAGCGTGTGCAGTGTAAAAGCCCACCACGGCCGGGTCCACGAGTCCTGCAGATTTGCGCGTGCGCTGCTAAAGGTTTGCAGTTTAGGAGGAGTTTGTTCGAGTCCCGACAGTCTGAAGATAGGGATTGGCACCAGCGATAGGACTTAGCTGACGCCAGAGTTCAGAGTACAGATGTATTGGACTTTAGTTTCCGTGGTTTCCTCCTATTAATTTTACGGGGATGCTGAAGTAGATGTTGAGGCACCATTCAAGGGCCAGGGGCCTCTCTGTACTCCTGAAGGGAAGTACACACAAGGAACAGCTTTGTTTATACTGCTGACCCCTTGACTACTAGCCAACTTCTAAAGCATGTTCAGGCTCCAAGATTTATAGTTTTAGCAATAAATCTGAGGAATTTGAAATGAAGAGTTACGTATGTGAGTTTTTGACACCGTGCTTCTTGTTAGTGCACAACTCATCCTATACTGATGTTCGACATCCACTAACTCAGGACATTTCAGAGGGAGACAAGCTACTCACTGTCAAATGAGAACATGTTAAGTTTTTTTTTTGTTTCTATTGTCCAGGACTGGTCGTCAGAAGGTGAATTTCCGTTACCGTGCCCTTCAACTTACTTGGACAAATATTTGTGATGAAAAGGAAACAAGACAAAAACTCCAATATTGCCATCGCTAGTGGGCGGATCCCCCCCCCCCCCCGAGATCTCTTTCACCTCCCAAACTTCAATGCAAGGTATCCCAACTAGCAGAAACGTTGTTGAATATGAAATGCATAACTTTGTTGCACGAAATTTTCCACGACACGATCAGTGCCTCAAAGAAAAGCTTTTACGACTCTTGGTCATACCCTATAAAGGTAACATTTGTTGAGAACCATGTGTATATCAGGTATGGGAATTTGAGACTTCGTCTGTAGTTACGCTGGCGCATTCTCATTCCGCCTGCTATCAACTGTAGGTACTTGTAAATGGCAGTCAACTTGTTAATTCCCTGAGGAGCCGCGCCGCGCGTGCGAACCTTCCGCAGTTACGTTGTTCTGCGCGCACCGCTGCGCCCGCGACCTTGGGTGGCCTTCGCAGCGCCAAACATACTAGTCGTCCGCTCCTGGATTGATTGCTTGTGAGCGACAACTGCTACGGTCATTTGTCTCTTAATGTTAGTGCATGAATTTTGCTCCGGACATAGTGGTGGCCTTCCCCCAGCTGAAGGAAGGATTCAGCGCTAACCAGCGTAACGCCGCCCTCATCCTAGACAATCTCGGAGTTCCCGACCGGTCTCCCCACATGTGAGTGTATAATATGTTAGTTTATATGTGAATGTGCGCGTGTATATATATGTGTGTGTGTGTACAAGGTATGATACGACACGAAATAGGAAGGAGGGAGAGAGCACGGTACGTGGCCAGTATGCTGGGGTACCATTTCGGCATTTACCTTTTATTGATCGGAGAAACCACGGAAAATTACTGATCAGAGCAGTCTGTTTAGAATTCTCCAAAAAGCAACTAAACTTGGCCTAGTTGACAAGCTAGTTTCGAAAATTCTACTACCATCCAGACTCAAATCTAGGATCTCTAGGTCAGAGGGACATACATTTATGTCCCGAGTCCCTTCCCAGGTCTGCTTGTGAATGTCAAGTTCGTCTCGTACGTACGATATCAGAATAGAGATATTTCGGTCTTCTCATTTGCGACGCCATATTAAATTTGATTATTGTGTAGTTTGCAGTAGGAACTTTTGGGAATATGAGGCCCCTTAAGCAATTAGAGCCTACTTAAAAGAATTGGTCACTTCCGGCGGTGCTATTCATACATTACCTCTCGAACGTGAAGCAAATGCTGTCTTAAGTGATTGAAAACTCGGCATTTGCACAGTAGTTTCGTAGATGAGTAGCCACAGAATAAAATATTTGCAGTAATAATATCCCCGATTTGACAACAGTGTTCGAGAACATTCGTAATGTTATGTTTTTAGTGGATTGTACTCTTCTTTAATGTTCCTTTCCTGTAATAATGTGCTACGTGCAGAACTTGGAATATTTTGAAACAAAAATCGCTGGCAACGTTTTCGATGATAAAAATAAAAATATAATTTAAATAGTTACAGACTTAGGCCGGATGAGGGGCAATTAACAGATCAGGCGACCTTACCTCCCTCGTAAACTTGAATCAACAGAAGTGTTTACAATAAATTCAGCTCCGAGAACGACATCAGTATGTGTGGTGCTGTGAGCTTCATTTTAAGACAATTGTTTGTCTGACACTAACCATTATACTCATTATTTGCCTAGCAGAAGAGCCGAAGACTTTCAGAAGACTGAGGAATGACTAAGCAGAAGAATGAAGGATGACTAGGATGATGAGAGAGAAAGGCTGCGCAAGTTCTTTTAGATCCAGAAAACTATACGGGCAAAGTCAACGTCACTCCAACTCCGTTGCAGTAATAATGCTGCTAACTATATTCGAAATCAATTCTCACAACAAGGCAAATATGTTATATAATTTTTTTTAAATCTTGATTTGGAAGTACACAAGTCATTACTTTTTTCTGTGTATATATCTCAACCTTGTGAAATAGAAAAAAATTATTACATTTTCTGATGTTGCACAGAGTTTCACTTTCATATTTTTTAATAATCTAATCGTAGAAACGCTTATATCTAAACCGCCAAAAATATTAATTTGTGTCATTTCAAATGGATTTCGTGTTGATTATCCTTTGCAATATATTCTGAAAAATTTGATTTATTGTACACGGTTCTAAATAAGTATAGAAAGAGGACAGAAAATCACAAAATTTACACCACAAATATAAACTTAATAATTTCTTATTAACATTTACCGAATGCAGTAAGTAGTATGAAATTGCATCGTTCAGGTGATAACAATAGATAAAGAACATTTTCGTGTCGTGTACTCCGGAGATTAAGAACCAAGTCTATAAAAGATAACTGTGGGATAATACTTGTAATGCATTTGTTAATTAATAGTTAAACATTACTCTGAAGTATTTCATAAAGGATTAAATAAACTAGAACTACTTGCTCAGATGAGCAGGTTTGAAATCTAAAGTGTATTTTGAAAGACGAAAATATAAAAATGTATGTTGTGTTTGGAACTCCTATGTTTGGCAGCTCATAATCAGTTGCAAGCCGCAGCGTATGAATCGAATTACAATGTTCCAATTTTCTTAGACTTTAAACAAGAACAATGAAAGCGATGTATCAATTACTATGTCATTGACCATGTTTTTGCCTTATTTTACCATATCACGAATGTTTCTTAACCGAGACTTTTTCACGTGAACCCTTAACGTGACCAGTGAGCTGGGTTAATTTTACAGGAACCATTTAAGAACACGAAGCACAATACCACATTTATATAAATTGAAGCTGAATAAGTCTATTTCCAAGCAAATAGTTTTGAATATAATGATTTCATAAAATAGCAATTTCATAAGGTATTAGTTAATGATGTGCAATAACAGGCACTATATTACACAATGCACTAGTAATATCACATAAGTGCTCTCAAAGCAACAGCGCGTCTATAGGGTTGAAA